TTTATTGAATAAATTTATTCTTCAATATTTCAAGATATTTTTATGTAATTTTGGTAAATATATCTGTTAAAATGAGATATTAGTTTTATTCTCATTCATTTCTGCGTAATTTAGACGGCAATCTATAGCACAATTTATATATATATATATATATATATATATATAAGTTGACATTTAAGTCAACACCCAGGGGCAGCATGTTTTCTGCCAAACGGAATCGTCAGCTGGCCTGACGATTGCCTCTGAGTGTTGACGTCAATGTCCACTTTTATATTTACATACGCTCTGTCGCTAATGTTGACACTTTAACCCATAAATATAGAATACCTTAAAACTATATTTTATCATATATATATATGTGTGTGTGTGTGTAGAGAGAGAGAGAGTGAGAGAGAGAGAGAGAGAGGGAGAGGGAGAGAGAGAATTAATGCAAGTAAAAGGTTTGTTACCTAGTAAATTTATGTTATTTTCAGTATCCCGATTCCGGAGTTTCGTAGACAGACCCTCCGGGAATCACTCTGTCCACTCGTCAGTAGGTATAAGCAATTGACTTTTTATATTTCTCGAGCTTTCTTTTTCCTGTGCACCTTTCATTAGTGCAAGTTGTATTTTTTATTTTTTTCATAGCATATGCGTGAGTGCGTTCCCAAGTGTGTGGCCATGCGGCCGTCTGCGCGTATGTTCGTACGTTTATGTCGTGGTTATTTGTCCGTTTCGTGGGTTTTTTTTTTTTTTTTTTTTTTTTTTCATTAGACACTCATATGTATTCATCTTTGATTTTTTTTTACAATATCTGTTATTTCTAAATATCTATAAATTTAATATTCCTTAGTAAATTTGTCTTCGGACAATCTCCCACATCTCTTTTTATCATACACTCTGACAGGGAGTATGCATGAACGCGTTTCCAGGTTAACGGAAACAAGATCGTCACCTTTCAATGGCTTTTTTTTTTCCTATGTTGCAAAAAGAAAGAAAATCATTACATTTCTAAATTCATTTACGTCATTTTCTTACATTCCTTAACTGTTTGCAATTTGTTACTTTTCATGCACGAACGTCCATTTCGAGTCGGCTAAGAAATCCGCTCATTATCTTCTTCTTCTTCTTCTTTCTTTCTTTCTTTCTTTCTTTCTTTCTTTCTTTCTTTCTTTCCTTCCTTCCTTCCTTCCTTCCAGAGGGTTCTTTGTCTTTGTTTTCTTAAATGAAACCTCAGCTCCGTCTACGTCGCCAATCTTGGACAACCTGAGCGAACGCCAAGACTGTGTCTTAACCATCCGTTATCGGAAGTTGTTAATTAAATCAGCCATCTCCCACTGCTGAGAAAATCAGATTTAAAAGATATTTCTTTCACAATGCCTGGGTGGTATCGTTTAATACTCCGACGATAATTGAGTCTGATTCGAATTACAATTATCGAGCAAATGAAGTGTAAATCACAGATTCTGACCAAGAGAATTCCCACAGCACAGCTTTTTATTCTCATAAAATGGTTGCTGGCATCGAATTTACTTAGGAAATTAGAACTCGATTAAGAAAATCGCCATTTACTTAACTTGTAAGTTGGTTTCTATTTTTATGTAGTTAAATATTTATGCCTTTTTGTGGACAGAAGGTCAATAGCTAATGGCCAAAAATTAGTTTGAATAGAATGTCTTGGTCTTGAATAAGAAAATAATTTACAATAAAGTGTTTATCTGAAATGGCACATTGTAACCGGAAGCATTGAATACTTAAAATACTTTAATTTAGAAGATACGAAAAAACAGCTGATTTGCGTCAGAAAGATAATATTTTGGGTTTAACTGAGAAAAAATTTTCAAGGAAACTGAAACGGCGCATTGTAGTCATAGGCATTGAGAGACAGTCCTTCGCAAATGCTCTAAAATAGAATAAAAATAAAAAATAAAGCAGTCTGGCAGGTTAAGCGTTGTTTTCTGAATTTTGTGTCATAGTAATTATGGGTTCAATTCTTAGAACATGTAGACGAAGACTCAGTAGAAATCATATCAGAGTAGTACTAAGAATAAGAACAAGATAATATATCCATACGCAAAGAGGGCGAAACAAAGGGTTTACTTTGAGGGTTACCTGGATCGACAGAGACCTGATGAAGGCCAGGGGAGACAACGGCCGAAACTTGATAATGGTTAAAAAAAAATGAAGATATTAGTCCGAATGTAAATAACGAAAATGATTTTTTCAAGCAGGCGATTTACAACTAAATAGTCATATGGTCCGGGCTTAGTTAGCTCTCATTTAAAAACAAGCTCAATGATTATTCCTGGTTGTCTTTCAATTCTTCAGTGACTCTGGAAATGGCTCCTCAAACCAAGACGCGCAGAGTCTGATGCAGTGAGAACACTGGAAATCGGTGTTACTGACCAATGCCTGTGGCGCTGTTTTCTTTGAGTATCGTCAAACTTCTTCAAAACCTTCACAGATTTGGTGAACAATGGCACACCAACGCGATCTGTAGGCAGCATACTCTTCCAGCTCCCTTGGTCTGATTTTGCACCAGTAGAGCTTAGTTTTAATTGCATCTTCGTACCGTTTCTTTAGTCAGGCTTGATGTCTTCTGTCACATAACAGATCTCCGTTCAACAGGCGTCTGGAAATACGATATCACTCCAGACAGATGTCGTGAACAGTCCATCAGACTCATACTTCTTTATCGGTGATGTAATAATGATGACTTTTCAAAACAAACCTGTGCAAGAAAGCTCCCTGCCACGGCCTTGGAAATCTTTATCCGGTGGCATGAGGAATAATTCCAGGATGACCAGGACTTTTATGTGTCAAGTCAATGCTCTGGTACTCTCCACCGTTCATGGACGATGGATCTGTAGAAGATCACTCCGACAGGAATCAGTGCAATATGTTTGACAGACCTGACTAATCTCACCTAGTTTACCCGTTTGTTGAAGTAGTTTATCGGGGTTTGGTTACTGTTGCATATAAACAGTTTTGGGGGCTCCGAGTGGGAACCAACGCTGATAAGAGAGTACGACTGTTACCCGGCCAGAGGAAACCATCCCACCCTGAAACCCATAATATTTTCTAATACACCGGACGTCGAAGCAAAAGGATCGCCGCGAAATATATCATTTACTATAAATATAATATGTCTAAAGGATAAATGCTAGAAAGTAATCAATAAATAATTAAAAATATATAATAAATAATAGAAAATAATCACCAAAACAAATATAAATTCATTTTTTTATAATTATTTTTGTTAAAACTCTTTAAATTAGGCACATCCATTGATTCGCTAAAAGATGTGGATACTATGATGAAAAAATGCCCCAAACGTAATAAAAACAAAGTTTTATCATCAAATTCTTTTGGTTATTATTAAGAGGAAAGACCAAAGGATTTTTTATTAATACATTATATTATAAAGATCTGTTTTAGCACGTTAGAATGTTTGGTTAAAAATTTTGTTTTCCTTGCGTCAGTGGGGTAACCATGAATTAGTATAGGAAATTTTAGCCTCTTTTTTGCAGTTCAAAAACATATTGATTTGGAAATTCTTGCAAAAATCAAATAATTGTCAGATTTTAATGAAACTTTCAGGACTTATTTACAAATTAATGAAATAATTATAAAATGTTTTATTTTAGAAAATCTTCTAAGTTTGTTTTTTTTTACATTTGTTACCTCCAGTATTTAATTTTATGAAATTTCGAGAAATTAAATTTTGTAGAGATTAATGTTTATATTAATTATGCGAAGAACTCCTTAGAGAATTTAAATCATCATTGTTTTTTAAAACAGGACCACCAGTTACAGAAAATCTACTCTGAATTTTAAAATAAAAATGCAATAAAACTAAGACATTATTTAATTAGAAAAGCTTTTATTAATAAAATATATTACGGACAATATTGTCTTACGAAAAAAAACATTTTTCGATGTATAATGAACTTTTACAAGTATTGTTTTAATTTTTTTTAATTTAATTAGAATATTTTAAATTACTGTATTATTTTGTACTGGTTAGGTGATATTGTCATTAAGTAAAACTATATTTCCTAATCATAAATGGAAACGCTTAATATCGACCCACAATATATTTTTTTTTAATTTTGAAAAATTTGTGTGTGTGTATAAACGAACCGATTTTTGCAAATACGGACGTCCATACACGACATTATCAGAAAATAGTAAATTTAAAGCCAAAGTATCTACTGAAATCCTGAAGTGTAAGTTGCCCAGTTCACACTGGTCGAACACAGTTACAGCAGGAGATTCCTGATACTCACGAAATCATTCATTGTTTCGAATAAAACATTTCCAAAGACCAAAGTTTACCTACAGACTCAAATATAAATGTGATCACTGTTTTCTCACATATAAGCCCAACCAAGATTTTTAACTACAGGCACAAATATAAAACCGGTCATAATCTACTTATAGTCTCATGTCCCGACTAATATTCAAGAATAAATTCATGTATAAAATCGACCAATGTTTATCTAGATACTAAAGTATAAACCCGATGATGTTTAACTCATAAATTAATGCATAAACTAGACCAAAGATCACCTATAGACTCAAGTATTAACCGGACTTATGTTTGCCTACTGACTGGTAGAAACTTGTCAAATATTTACCTAAAAAACGACCACAGATTTTCACGACTCTTTTACTTCAGTCTTGACGATTATCGCATCTGGTAGGCTTTCCCTCAGTGTCCCGTGTCTTTACATATCTGCTGAATGGATGTTTTAAATGATCGACCAATGTTAATATATTCATATTTTCACGTCCACAACAGAACCTCACCGACAAGCTCAGATCTTTACTTCTCACGGAATGCCTTGAATATCTTGTTTGTTTGTTTTTTGTTTTTTGTTTTTTTTGGGTTTTTTTTTTGTTTTGTTTTTTCTCTCGAATGACTTAAGAGATCAAAGGTAGATGACCATAAAGATGATTTTTTTTTAGGGTGCTGTTCCCAGAATAGTTTCAATGCAGCACGTAGCATCCTAACAAACTTACGGTCATATCACATTGAAACACCGGTTCCCGTACGATCACCAAAGTTAAGCAACGTCGTATCTGGTCAGTACGCAAATGGATGACCGCTTGGGAATACCAAGTACTGTAATCTTGGATGTGCGGGTGATCTAATGGATAAAAGACTTGGAATTATTAAATCGGAGAGCCGGGTTCCAGTTTCAGTGGGTTTCATTATATTCACTTAGGCGCAAATATCGTTGGGAAAAGGCATGAATCCACTTCTCCTACGAGTTAATTAGTAATACTTGTATCACTAAATCATTATTATCTACAAAAAAAAACCCCTAAAAAACAAAAAAAAAACTTACAACTTAAAAGATTTTTTCTGGCCTTGAATAACCTGCAAAGTGTTGATAAATCGTAGAAAACAAATCAATCAAAAAAAGAAATTCTTGGCCGTGTCCATCCTTCAAATCTATAAATCAACCATTCGCCCTTGCATGGATTACTGCTACCATATATGGTCTGGAGACCCCGCTGTTTGCCTCAAGGTCCTTAACAAAATCCGGGGACGGATATGCAATATGATTGGTCCTGATCTGGCATCTCGTCTAGAGCCGCTCTCTCACAGACATGCCGTCGCTTCCCTTTGTCTTTTCTACAAATACTTTCACTGTAACTGCTCCGATGGGCTACTTTCACTGGTTCTCAAACTGCATGAATTTAAGCGTGCTACTAGGTTGGCATCTCAGTCCCACCATTTTACAGTCGAAACTGTTAAATGTAGCCGTCTCTTCTACTCCAATAACTTCATGTCTCACACTTCCCGTCTGTGGAACTCCCTTCCTCTTACTTGCTTCCCTGATAGCTATAATCTTCAAATATTCAAATGCAATGTCAATCGACATCTCCAGATACTTTCATCTATCCTCCGTTCTTCTCTTCACCCTTTCCTCTATCACGCCTCTTTACTCTTGCTCACACTCTTTGTAACCCTTTATATATATATATATATATATATATATATATATATATACAAACCTGCAGACACCCAACAATATCTTCATTTCAAGAGACATCACCCAAAAAGCTGCCTAAAATCCATCCCCCTATTCTCTAACACGTAGGGTTTGTAATATAGTGACTGATAAACATCTCTGAAAAACCCGCCTAGAAGAACTACATAAATCTCTCAAAAAACGAGGCTACCCACAACACTAATAAACAAAGGTTTTCAACTCGCAAAACAAATTCCTCTCTAGACCGACTTAGAAATAAAAACAAACGTAACGTCGAACAAACTCTAACATATGTCTCAACAAACAATCCACAATTATTCACAAAAACAATCCAGAATTATTCACAAAAACAATCCAGAATTATTCACAGAAATTACAAATAATCTAGACTTACTTAGCAAGAATAATAAACTGAAAATATATACTAAAAACAACCAAAATAATTAAAAGCAAACGCCAATCTAAAAACCTAAAACACATATTAACCTCATCCAAATTTAACCAACACACAATAGAGGGAGTCACAAAATGCAGCAAAAAAGATGTGGGGTTTGTGACATCATTATACAAGGAAACTCCTACACTTTTGAAAACCCCAAAACGACATTTATAATAAATAAAAACTTAAACTGCAACTCCAAAAATGTGATTTATGTACTCAAATGCACAAAATTCAAGAAGTCATATATAGGTATCAGCCAACAACTGAGCAACAGGGTCTCCCTACACAAAAGCAACATAAAATTACCAGACAACAGAAAACTTTTTGTATCACAACACATGTAACCAGGGTAAATTTAAAATTATGCCAATATATCAAACAGACAATTATTCTTACCTACAAATACAAGAAGAAAAACTTTAATTTAAACCAGAACTAAATAGATCATAACCCCACACGCAAAAGCACACAGCATGTACACATAGTAACCAAATACAGTCATCAACCCACTCACATGCGTGCACGCACGTTTACATGCGGGTGTTTGTGGGGCACGAATGTGCATATATATATATATATATATATATATATATATATACACATATTGACAAAAGCAGGAGAACTACTCACAAACACGCACACAAACCCCACACAACTTAGGAAGTATGTGTGTATGTGTGTACATATATCTGCGTGTATGTATGTGTGTGTATGTATACTGATTCCATGTAACTTGGGAAGTATGTGTATGTATGTATGTGTGTATGTGTGTGTATGTGCGTGTATGTGTGTATGTACTGATTCCTTGTAATGGGACGGTATGTGCGTGTGTGTTTGTTTGTGTATGTGTATGTGCATGCGTGTGTCGGTGTACAGATGTGTTCACTGATTCCTTGTAGTGAGACAGTGTGTATGTAAGGAGAGGGTATATACGCATATATACACGCATGCTGACAAAAGCACACGAAAATGGAAATAGATCTAAGAACACACAGGGGTCATTAAAAGATAAGCATGCCGATAACTACTCCATCATTTCTCGAAATAATCTTAATTGTTTTATAAATCTTCACGCAGAACTTTTCCCTGCCAGTTCAAGAAAGACCTTTGGATCACTAACACAAAAAAGAAAATGTCACATATCGAGAATATTTAACATCGAAAAACATAAAGAAAAAAATGAATTATTTTTAATAATATGTGGAAATCTCCACCCTTTGCCTGATGACAGTCGCGAGACCGGAAACCCGTGTAGCAAAATTATGGAAAATAAAGCGTAATATTTTTTTAAATCCACATTACAACCAAAAACGTTTGCAGCTTCTCTCTTCTTTTTAATATACCCACTTTTCTCTCATTGGAACTACTATAACCTCTTCTTTATATATATATATATATATATATATGTGTGTGTGTGTGTGTGTCATGTAGCTTCTTTTCCACTCATTTTGTCAATGTTCATGTAGTATTATCAGGGTGTAAGTCAGACATCTATCGAAGTCTATTCCAGCTTCTTGCTTTCCTGTCCACTGCATTCTTCCATAATTTAAATGCAACATCAATTGTCATCATCTCTCTCCTTGAATCCTGTTCTTTTTATTGTCCTTTCTCATAAGCAACGTTTTTGTTTTTTTTTTTTTTTTTTTTCGGCCTCTTTCACTCTCAGTAATTCCCTTGCATCTTGGTGGCTTTATAGCCTTGCTTGGCATAAAATGATTTAAAAAAAAAAAGATACGTCTAAGGCTATAAGGAAGTCTTGTTTCATCTTATCCAGAAGAGCAGATTCCTAAATTACTGACTGCTTGTCTACTGGTGTCCAAGTTTTGTTGATGGGAATGTTCCGATCACTTTTAACGGAAGAGATGTTGCTTATATGTTATTTATTTCAATGTTATATCCTTTAATTATACCTTAAAAGGACAGAAAAGTTTGTACGAGTGTACACAACAAACAGATAAAAAAATATGACACAGATTTAAGATTATATTCGCTTTAATCCTATACAATAACTATAAAAAATTGTTTCAACTCTTTTACAACATAAAGATTAATAGAATGTGAAATAAAACAAGAGTCAAGATCTTCAATTTAATATTTTTGACAGTAAGATATTTCTTAAAGAATCCATTCAGGATACAATTAGGCAATTTTTTCGCAAAGTTGCCATCATTTTTCTCTTTGAAAATTATGCATGCAATATAGCATCATCTTTGGTTTGTTCTTCCAGTTTTATTTTCTGATTGACAAATACTCCAAAAAAATAAACGAATCCTAATAAATAGCATATTTATTGTACATTTACATACAATTTTGGTACAAGGCCGAAGGAGAAGTGGGCCGAGGCTGGTCATCACTGACTATCCTAAAATTAGCTAATCTCATTCGCAAACGATTCATTCATTATAATTTAATCATTCGACACAAGAACACATCCTTTTTCACCAAATCCTACATTTACTAAAATACCACATACTCACAGGGTAAGCTAATAAATCCCCATAAAGGAATCCTAATAAATAGTAAACTCATGAATCGTATAAATGCCAATTAGTCATTTAAACACAAATCATCAACCAATGATCCTGTATCGTTGGAAAATTTGAAATTATCGATTGATGATATTGGCAAACCTCCAATGAAACATAAATTAATCATGCTCGACGTTTAAGGTTTAACATTTAAAAAGGGTATAATTGAAAGTTTCAACACATTTGACAAATGTTCGCCCAATAAATATTCCCTTCTTTTAAGTTGCGTTTTCCTGTTAAAAAAAAAAACACACACGCATCGTCCTAACTTATACATTACTATAAGTTTGTTAGCTAATATTTAATCTGAAATTTATTTCTGCACTTTCCCAATTGAAACAAACTCCACCTTTTTTTTAAATGCCTAGGCTTGTTATCTGTTATTAAGTCTAAATAATAAATGCGAATGTCAGTGTGTCACTGTGTCACACTTTTTCAGCTTTACTCCTAGAAGTTGTAGCCCTACGTATCATACCATTTTGGAATCAGGCCGAGTCCAGGAGCAAATTTCAGAATCAGGCCGAGTCCATGAGCAAATTTTAGAATCAGACCGAGTCCATGAGCAAATTAAAAACATTCGAGGCCGGGTCCGGACTAGCAATCCTGAAATTTGGGATTCCCAAGTTTTCTTTACTGTGATTATTTTCGGCGATTTTTTACGTGATTTTTTTGCGACGAATATTTATAACAATTTTTATAATTTGGAAATAAACTTGGGAATAATTGAAATTAATTGCGAAAATCCAGCAAAAGTCACCCATGAAATAAAAACAATTGTTTTTACGAGGAGTAAGGACCTACGTACATCAAATTGTCTTTAAATTAAGTGGTGACAGGAGAATTATCATTGAACCTTTAAAAGGTAAGCTTAAATATCAATGCAATATTGCAGCGATCAATTTTGAGTTCTTCTGTAGTTCATTGTCGCCGATCGCATCGTTTGATAACTGCACCGGACAAGTCTACATTAAAATACATTTAAAAAAAAACAAAAAAAAACACGACTTATAATAAAAACGTCTATGTATTAATGGAAGATAGATAATAGATTAGATAAGACGAATAAAATATTTTTATAGATTTTTCTTTATTTTGATTTGAACTCATCTCTGCACCAGATTATTTGTTACTGCAAAATTTTAAAACTGTACAAAAGCTTT